AAATTGAAAACAAAATTAAAAAAAATGATATAGTATGAAAAACAATAAAACTTATAACGTGATCAACAATCAATATTAAGATTGATGTCGCCGTCGACTAAGCAAGTATCAAAAGAAAAAAATATGACACAAAATTATTAAAAAAACCATCTCAAAAACCCTAGTCACCCCCTTTCCTTAGTCACTCTCCCCTTTGTCTTTTTTTCTTTGAGTTTGTATCTTTTTTTTATAGATCAGATCAATTTTTTTTTTATTTAAAGTGGTGACACTGGTTTTGATATTGGTTGCCGACCGTCGATTCTCTTTTCTTTTTATTTTTTGCTTTTGTCTTTTAGTAAGAATAATTTTTCCTGTGTTGCACGTTTATATATGCCTTTGTGACACATTTATCTCTACCTTCGTGGCACATTTTTCATTTTATTTCTTGGTCGTTTGCCTATTCTTTTATTTATATTTTCTCAGGGTTAGATTTGACGACACCACGACTAATCAAGATGACGCTTATTTGAAAACTTGTTGATCTTCCCTACTATAGACATTCAGATTGAATTTGGATGCGTGATTCTGCGTTTGTGGATAGTTTCTCACTGCGCTCAACTCTGATAAACAGTTTTCGATGGTCTTTCAATAACTTAATTCCCTTTTATGGTTCATTTGTTGATGCAATAAGATTTATTCGTATATATTTTTGTTTTAGTCTATTGGTTTGTTTTTAACATTTTCCATGTATGATCCTTATATGATCTAGAGTGGCTAGTTTCAATGTTATAGGAAAAGTCTAACTTATGTATTTAATTTACGATGATAATTATAAACTCTTATTGTAATTTTGAATAATTTCACTTTTTAATAATACTAGTGGCTTTTATTAAAAAAATAAATGTAATACTCATAGCACATATACATCTCGTATTACGAGTTAAAGATGTCACATCAATTTAACAGACACTTGTTGAACATAAATGCTTAAAATTTTGTTTTATTTAAAACAACATTTTTTTACAAATTTAAAAGTTGTTTCCTTTAACATGCTTAATCATAATATTATACTTCATCATTCCAAACAAAGTTGTTTTTTAGGCAACAATTGGGCAATTCCATGTTATTTCGTATTTATATTAAATGGACTAATATTTCTTGATTTAAAACCTCCATAATATTTATTCTTAAAAACAGTTATAACAAAAATTAATCAAAATTTAAAGCAGTCCTAAATTACTATTACAGACCCTTTTTAGAATAAATCTGATAAAACAACCTAACAGATATAATGTATATGCCATTAATAAGTCAAAGTTACGATGTCTTACTGATTCTATCGGTAGGTTTGATTTCCATAAGATGATGACAATCTCCTCACTTCACGTCCTCTACTTTATTCGACCCTACGCATGAAAATTTTCACGCGCTAAGAAAAACTTAGTAAGGCAAGTAAATAAATCAGAGTAAACTATATCAATATAATATCATAAATAATTCAAGACATAAAAATAAAATGTAAATAAAGTCTTTAAAACTCCAAACCGAACTTTCCAGGTCATATTTTTTTCCTCATCAGAAACCTGAAAATCATGGTCTCCTAATTTTATCAATATCACAATAATCAATACTAGCAATAGTATACTTTCCATATACTTTCCATTCATACACATTTTAGAACTTTCATATTTCGTATTCATATTCTTTTACCTTTCAGTCACTTTAAGAAATTTCCTTATTTTCATTTTTATAACTCAATATATATTTATGAGAATGCAAGGTATGTGAGTAGAGTGTGCACTGGACACTTTAGTGCCAATTCTAACTTAAATTGAAACATATGATGCATTATAACATGAGAATCAACCGTGTAAATAACTGAAAAATGATAAGTAATCAATTAATGGCACCTCAATTATAACTACAACTCTTAATGCAACATACAATGAGTTTTTAATTCCATATTATAATCATTTATTCATCAACGTCTGAAAATCATAAATATTTAGAATTCTTTCTCATAAAATTCGTACTTGGATAGTTCATACTCTATATCATCCATAAAAACATTTATGTAAACACTATGAAAACATTCCATAATTAAAATAGAAAATATACTTGAAAATAGTTACGAGGTTGACTTATCACTAATCGTCATCAATCAAATTAATTAAATTAAATAATAAATTACATTCACTTTGACACTTTGCTAGTAAATCAAAATATAAGTCTCTCTAAGGTCTAGAATTAATCATTTGTTCTCAAATGCTTCAACGATCCAATTTTATCAAAATTTCATGCTTTGATATTTTGCACTCCCTTCAAAGAAGTATTATTTTGTATTAATCTAAATACTTAAAAATTAATTCGTTAATACCACTGAAAACTATACTCAAATATGAATCTAACCACATAAGACACTTATTCTAGTTCAACTTGTACAATTTATAGCGAATTTTCAAAACTGACTCACCGAAACTGTTTTGAGTAGAATCTACAACCCTAATTTCTGACCTATCATCGATTAAAAATTCATATCCTTTCGTATACACCTCAAAATTAGCATCCGTTTGTTTTAGACAAAATTAAACTGATACACGATTTCAATGGTATAAAATTCATCTTTAATCATTTCTATATAATTTATTATGAATTCCTAAATTTACTATTTGATTCATAATTTCTAGAAAATTTTCCCTAATTTACATCCTTAATTCATTTCTCTAATTATATAAACTTAATAAATGAACATATAGGCTAAAATCACAATTCATATAACATTAGAAATCACATTTTATCGTAGTAATTTCGACACTGACTCATCTCAAGCCAATGTTTGTTTGATAACATAAACACAAATTAAATGCACTCACTTTTGTCTCACTATCGAACATTCTCTACGATAACCTTCTCGATCCCATACTTTTTCCTTTCCACTTGAGCTAGTTGGATCACTAGGTTTACTGGGTCTGACGACATCATATTTTAACATAGAATGTTCAAACTATATATTAATATCGAACTAACATAATATGAGCGTAAATATAAATTTGAAAATCGATAATTAATCGATTTAATTAAGTATACTCTCATCATAAACTCAAACTTCTCACGAATACTTATTAAATTCCATAAATATTTATTTCCTCATCAACCTTTCAACTTTTGCTAAATACACAATTTAACCACTAGTTTTAAATTCTTTCTAGAATTCACCTCAATTTTTTTTTTAAATTCGTAATAGTCCTTCACTATTATGATTATGTCACAATAATCACATAAAATTTCCAATACCTTAATAAAATATTCAATTCAACACTTAAACATTCAAAAGCTTGCAATTTCATCCTAAACTTTCATAGGCTTTTCGAATTCAACCACTGACCTTATAAACTTGTAATTAATCCCAACTTAAATAATTAAACTCAAAAATCAGCAAACTACTAAATTTTCCAGCAATATACTATTTTATCCAAATGATATTTTCACATTTAAAAATTTGAAATCAAGTCCCTATATTTACTTTTCGAATTCCACCCCTAAATTTTACCAAATTTGAAATTTGGTTTCAAACAACTTTAAGACCTAAATTTCCAGCATTCAAATATTAAAAAATTAAACCTCCAAATATCACATTCTTGCAATAATGTCCCAAAATTCTCAAAACTTGTACATTAGCCCTTTTACTACCTAAAGCTTTCAAATTGATTCAAATCAATCTCCAAATCACATAGAACACTTCTAATATCGATTATAGACCATAGGTAATTTTTCAATATTTCCCCCCTTAATTTTCCCTAGTTGCCGAATCTTGCTAAGAAAAAAAGGCAAGAATTTCATTCAATTTCAAACATGAATTCAACTTCCTTACTTCAAATTTACGCTATACAAATCAATACATCCTCAAATTGCATTAAAATCAATCAATTCTCCACAAACCGTAAAGTAACCAAACCTAATATAAGCATGTATAAATAATTTTAATCATCATACATGCTTTAAAATTAATCTCCGACGTCAAAAACATAAAAATTCTTCATCAATCTTTCAAAATCCCGAAACCCTACATAAACCCTAACTTTCAATCTCAACATATAAGCATCTTCACCATGAAATATTGGTATCAAATGATAGAGAATTTCATGTAGGTTAAGTCTCTATCTAATAGTTTAGTCCAAAAATCAAGTATATAGCTTTAAAATTCAAAACAAAAATCTTACCTTGGTAGCTAGGCATGTTTCGGCCTAAGGAAGAAAATTGGATGAAAATTATACTAAATTCTTATTTATTATAGTATTTCCACCTTTACACTTGTCTTAATAATATAATTGAATTTAAAATTCATTTAATGATAAATTCCAAAAATACAATTAATGAGACTTGATAATTACCCAATGCCATTACATTATCCTCCATTAAAATATTACTTAGTCAAAGATTAATCAACTTGTCTTTGACTTTCTATTTTAGCCATGTAATTTTCAAAAATTATATTTTATTCACTAAAATTCCACTGTTCGGTCCAAACAGGAAAACTTACACTGTTATGTGCTAAATTTCTTTGATATAAAATATGGAAATAATATTTCCAACCATTATCTAGCATTCTTAATTTTTTTTTAAATTCCAATTAGATCTGATTATCCGATTTATATCCCGAAGTTTATTGCTTTATAACTTTTTCTACTCATCCCAGATCAAAATATGAATTTCATAAAAACTTCATATTTAAAGATAAACTATTCATTTATGAAATAATATTTTGGGAAAAATTACCACTTTAGTCCCTAAACTTTTACAAATTTATACTTTAACCATTAAACTTTTAAAATTTACATTTTGGTCACTTATCAAAATTTGAGGTATTACAATTCTTCCCCTAAACATTATATTTTTATCACACAGAGATCTGCTATTTTGACATTGAGTGCATTTATAAGCATGTCAATATTTGCTGGTATGATTGAATTTGATTAAAATTATTACTTGATACAAGCCCCAGGTAACAATAGCCACATCAATTATCTTTTGTCATCGATTCCTAATTCGACAATCACATGCGAAGAATGATAGAAGAGTGAGTGATCGCGTGTATAAGTGTGTGTTGTGGCACGTAATTTTGTGCAAGTATACATAATCGAAGCAAGTAATATAATAGTAAGTGAGTTATCGTCTCCACAGAGATTGGTGGGAATTTTTGATGATTTCTATAGCTAGAACTATGTGTCACTAACTATTCCTAAGATTCTTGTCTAATGGTATTCATAAAGGAAAAATAAGTAGTAGCAAACAAATGGAAAAAGGTATGGCCAAGGCAAGAAAAATTGTAAAGTGAAGTCAGCAGAAAAGTTTTGTTGTGGAGAGAAAAATATGCGAAGGTAAACAGATAAAAGTTATCAAGGCAAAGGAAAATGTTTAGTTCAATATATTATGAAAAGCCTCACACAATCAAACCTCTAATGGAGCAGTTGTGTTAGATTCGCTACGTCAAGAAATTATTCTATGTCTAGAATGATTTAGTATGCTATGCCTATGATGCTTGACAGGATTTACTAGAGTGTTCGTAGAACTTTTGCTACGACAATACTACCCAGCGTGAACTGCAACCCTTGGTTTGTCAAATTATTGTTGCGACAATACCCTCAGCGTAAGTTGTAGCTCTATCCTATCTACTCAAGCATTTACCCTTCTTAGTCGAATGAAACCCTCCCCTTATCTCTAAGGCAGATTAGAACCTTACCATCCCAGATTAGTTCGCTTGTTCACGTAGATCTAACCTAACTCTTTCGAATATTAGGTATCAACTCCTAGAAAAATGGCAATCTTTCAAAGACTAGGAATGTTTTGTCGTGACACCAGGCAATCTTTCAAAAACTCTTATAGTGCCAAGATAAAATATTAAAACAGTGAACAAAACAACATTCAACAAAAACATACTTAATCATTCATTAACAATCGAATAAAGTATCATTCAAGCATTTCCAACACCAAATAAAATAATTTATGGTGTGACAAACATCATCTCAAAAATAATCTTTAAATATAAGCCCTTAAATGATATGGAAATGAAGAACAAGAGGAAGAAAAACTCCGAGAGCAGAGCTATGCCGTGACATCAGACTATCACCATGATTGTTCTAGTGGCCAGCCTCTCTCGAGGTTCTGACTGCTACTCCGACGAAGCCCGACTATAGAGGGCACCAAGGACGGTCGAGTGGGAGACGATGGAAAAGGATGTGCTTCAGCCGCCTTTCTCCAAGCCTCGCTTTTAGGGTATGTTCTCTCCTCTCTCCTTTAGGGTGGTATAATGAGATATTTATAGTGAGAATTTTTAGAGTTTAGTGCCCTTAAAAATTCCATAAATACCCTTGGTTTCATGCCCATCGTGTGAATAATATGGCAGCTGGTAGTGGTCCCAAATTCCTTAGCAGGGGTATGGTTTCACGTGAGGTGTATTGGACAGATGGCCAAGTGACGTCAGCAGTTTCGTCTTGTACTGTGTCAGACTTGTGAGATAAAAACTCGCCTTGGCAATAAAATTTGTTCCTCACTATCGTTGTCTTTTTTTCCACTGGCCCTAACAAATTAATTTGTCTCGGCAAATAAATTCTTTCTCAGTCATTTCATGCATCATCACAACCAACAAATAACCCTTTTCCTCAACAGCATCAGTTTAGTCAAATAAACTTTGCCTCGACAAAACTTATCCACCACATGCCAATATATCCTAAATGCAACTATATGCAGCTAAAATGCTATGTCAATGACTTTTAGACAATCAATAATTTAAGTAAAAAGACCTAAAATACAGTATTTTTACAGAGTTATCAGTGAGTTATTATTCTCAGTCTGATGAATCTTGTTAAAACTTCATATAAGCTAAATATCTTCCTACTGTAATCTAAGCAATCTTTGTATTTTGATCCCATTTCATTATGAAATTCAGTTAGCTTTTCTTTTGGATGAGATAATGTCAATCTGCATAATGGAATGGTTAAGGGTTGAAATGTTTTATAATAGAGGTTGTAAACATCATTGTTTCCGTTAGCTTTACCTATCATTTATTTCTGATGGAAATTTTGGGCAGCATTGCTTTGGAACATTCTTATGATCATTTTGTGCTCAACTTCATTTCCTTGCTTGACAGACTATTGCTACTGTGTGTATGTTCCTTGCTGGGAAGGTTGAAGAGACACCTCGTCCATTAAAGGATTTCATTGTTGTTTCCTATAAGATAATAAACAAAAAAGATCCCGCTGCAGCCCAGAAGATCAAACAGAAGGTATTCTTTGAGTTGTGCTTTCATTATTTTATTTGCTTTGCTTGTTTTTTATGCTTGAGTTCACACTTGTCCTCCCTGTCATGTTTCTTGCTCTGATTTGTATAATCTTTGTAATTTTCTTTGCTCTTGTGTTTGTTTAGTTATCATCTTCACTTGTTTTCTTATTCTTCTGGCATATAACTTGCCAGTATTGTGCCATGTTTCGCTTTCCTTCTGCCTGAATTTATTACTTGAATTTAAATTTCTTGCTTAGAATCCACTTTTATTCTCTAATAGCTGTGTCCTTAGTAACAGCAGATCTCGCTGCTTGCCTCACTTTTTCTTTAAATATTGTCAAAATACAACATTCTTATTACCCTAGCTATTTTGTTTTTATTTTTCCTTCTTTCCTTAATTTTTTTTGTTTGCACAGTAGTGGTTATTCGAGTTGCTCATAAACTTTGATATATCCTGCAGAAATTGTATGAGCAACAAAAGGAGCTAATTTTAACTGGAGAGAGGGTTGTACTTTCCACGTTGGCTTTTGACTTCAATGTTCATCACCAGTATAAACCTCTTGTGGAAGCTATAAAGAAATTCAAGGTTGCACAGAAAGCCCTTGCTCAAGTTGCGTGGAATTTTGTTAACGATGGGTATGTTTTGAGTGGTGTTCCTTCAAAGTTTTTAAAATTATATCTTCTTTGTGTTCTCTTTTGACACGCTGCAAAGCGGCTTGCAGGCTGAGGACGTCACTCTGCCTGCAATTTAAGCCCCATCATATTGCGGCGGGTGCCATTTTCCTTGCTGCCAAGATCCTCAAAGTGAAGCTTCCATCGAACGGTGAGAAGGTTTGGTGGCAAGAATTTGATGTCACCCCTCTTCAATTAGAGGGTTGGTGTCCTCTCCATAACTTTGTAAAAAAGATACGGTGAATACAATTGGAGATTTATTAGAGGGCCACAATGGAACTGGTGTTGCTTGAATATGACCCATGGCTATCTGTTTCATATAATTATTTTGGTTTCTGTAGTCGGTCTACTTATTGACGTGTGGAATGCAATCATGCTTGGCTAATCTCTGTCTTTCTTTCTTTTTTTTCTTTTTTTCTTTTTCCACTTACTGACTGGTTTATCTTGCAGAGGTTAGCAATCAAATGCTGGAACTTTACGAGCAAAATAGAGCACCCCCTTCTGAGGGTAGTGAAGTAGAAGGAAGTGCCGGTGGTGGTGGCGATTTGATCAAACTGACATCTTTTAATCGAATATCTCCTTTTTTAACATCGTTTGTTCTATATTTCTCGAAGTGACACATTTTCGGTTGAGGTGGCGAAAGGCGCATCCCCGGAGACGCGCTTTACCTGGTTTTACGTTGAGTTGTATGCCACGTGTGAAAGGGGCATCCCCGGGGACGCGCCTTTCATTAAATGTCTTAAATGCCCATCCGATTTTTCCCCAACTACCCCTCCTCCTCCCCTTTATAAACCCTCTCAACCCCCTCATTCTTCACACCAAAATCTTCTTCTCTATTGCTATTGAGGGACTCAGGTCGTCTAAAATCTACTAGAATACATTGTGATATAGATATTCGGGAGAAGTCAACAGAACAAAAACGATGTGGGCATTGTAGAAACATAAGACACAATAGAAAAAATGTCCAGCTCTATTATCATCACATAATCGTTAACCCTTATGTAACCTAATATTCTATTTAAATGAATGTTTTTGTTTCTAATATTTAAATGTAATTGTATTTTTTATAATTTCTCAATGTATAATAATAATAACAGATTAAATGTGTAATTATATTAATTTTATTAACTTATGCATCAATATTTTGGTTAAATAATAATAACAGATGACTATATTGATAATATTTAAATAATTAAGTGATAAAATTAATAGATCGATAATCAAAATAAAAAATAATAATATAACCATACGTGTAATATAATAATTTTATACATTTTTCATATAACTACAATAAAATAAAAATTAGTTTTCATCTGTTGTTCTATCCGATTAATGTGGATAATACACTCCACCTTTAACACACATTAAAAAAATACATTCGATAATTATTAAATTATAACTGAAATAATTTACATAATATATTACTAATTTATAATAACAATAAAAATAAAATTTTTATTATTAAAAAAATACTGTATGACAACTGAATAAGCAAAATAAAAATAAAGCGCGTCTCCGAAAATACGTCTTTCACCACCTCAATCGAAAGGGTGTTACTTCGAAAAATATAAAATAAACGATATTAAAAAAGGAGATATTCGATTAAAAGGTGTCAGTTTGATTAAATCATGTACGTCTATAGGGTTCCGGCAAAACATCCTTCTGAAAGTCAGGAAAAGCAATCACGATTGACAGCTGACAACTCGTCTACTGACAACCATGGAATGCAGTCAAGAACCGCTCAAAACCAGAGTAACGATAATGGGAGTGGGGAGATGGATAGTGTCATTAGGGATCACAAAATGGAGAACAAGGATGGCCAACATCATGAGCAGTTGCCCCACAAGGATAACACGGGGGAAGTTTCAAATAAATCAAGGTCTGGAAAGGAGCGAACTGGTAGGGAAGATCGGGAAAGAAGTGTTGGGAGAAATGAAATTGCAGAAGCAGGTGAGTGGGGGGATGATGGAGCATCACGTAAGGCTAGCAGTTTGGTCAGGCGAAACATGGATATTCGGGAAGGACCCGTTGGGCAGTCCCCCAAAGAAGCTATTAAAATCGACAAAGACATCCTCGATTTCCACTCCTAAATTTTACCAAATTTAATATTTGGTTCCAAACAACTCTACAACTTAAATTTTCAGCATTCAAATATTAAAATCCATCATTAAATCTCCAAATATCACATTCTTTCAATAATGTCTCAAAATTATCAAAACTCGTATATTAGCTCTTTTACTAACTAAAGCTTTCAAATTGATTCAAATCAATCTCCAAACCTAATATAAGCATGTATAAATAATTTTAACCATCATACATGCTTTAGAATTAATCTCAAACATCAAAAACATAAAAAAAAATTCATCAATCTTTCAAAATCCCAAAACCCTACATAAACTCTAACTTTCAATCTCAACATATAAGCATCTTCACCAATGAAATATTGGTACCAAATGATAGAGAATTTCATGTAGGTTAATTCTTTATCTAATAGCTTAGTCCAAAAATTAAGTATATAACTTCAAAATTCAAAACAAAAACTTATCTTGGTTATACTAAATTCTTGTTTATTCTACTATTTATCCACCTTTACACTTGTCTTAATAATAAATTGAATTTAAAATTAATTTAATGAGAAATTCAAAAAATACCATTAACTAAAAATGATAATTACCAAATGCCATTACATTATCTTCCATTAAAATATTCCTTAGTCAAAGATGAATCAACTTGGCTTTAACTTTCTAATTTGTCCATATAATTTTTAAAAATTACATTTTAATCATTAAAATTCCACAGTTCGGTCCAAACAGGATAAATTACAATGTTATGTGCTAAATTTCTCTAATATAAAATATAGAAATAATATTTCCAACCATTATATAGCATTCTTCGAATTTTTATAAAATTCTAATTCAATCCGATTATTCGATTTCTACATTGAACTTTATCATTTTATAACTTTTTCTACTATCAAAATGTGAATTTCATAAAAACTCCATCTTTAAATACAAACTATTCATTTATGAAATATTTTTTTTAGAAATTACAACTTTGGTCCCTGAACTCTTCTAAGTTCAAATTTTAGCTATCAAACTTTCAAATTTTACATTTTGGTCACTTATCAAATTTTGGGTATTAAAAAAATTGTTTTGATTTTTAAACGTTTAATAAAATATATTTTCAATTAAAACTTCACAAAATTGTGTTTCTCTTGAATAACTTATCCACGAAAGTAGTTTGTAGTGTGTGGGGGGGGGGGGTTCTGTGGTGAGAATAAAAGTCGTACAACAAAAAGAAAAAATGTTGGAAAATTGGGTAAACTACATATTTAGCATCTCAATTATTACTTTTGTTCTGTTTTAATTATTCAACTGTTTTTTATTTCAAAATCATATATAACGTTACATTTTGATTTCATTTTGGTCATTTACAATTAAAAAAACTAATGTTGTCAATATGTCATCATAAGGTAATACCATATCATTATTAAAAAATAAAAGAATATCATTTCAGCAGTTCTATTAATTTTTTAACAACGGGTTATCAAAATAAAACCAAAACATACCGTTATGTCTGATTTTGAAATAAAAAATAACTGAGTGATAAAGCATAACAAAAGTGGTAGTTAAAATACTAAATGTATAATTTACCTAGAATAATTGGGATTTTTCTCATCTTACATTATCAAGGCAATTAGCCAAGAAATCCTCCGCCCTTTCCTCCCACTTTCCACCCACTCCCAAGCCCCTCGAACACATCGAACTTTCTGGAATTTATGTAGATTCCTTTCCTTATCTCTTTCTTCGTTATTAATCAATCTTCCATTCATTATTTCCATTATATTTATATATATTAATATTATTTATAATTTTATATTATTTTAAAAATTTATTTATTTGAATAAAATTAAGTTATTATATACTTTTTTATTTTAAAAATAATTTTATTCTTAATTTTGTTTCACTTTATTATTGATTATTGTTATATAACTATATAAAGTAAAATATTTTTTAGTTATCTATATTTACGGTTTTTATATAACTATAGATAATTAATAAATTATATTATTTATTTAATTTAAAGATTCCGAATTAAATTAATAAAAATTATGAACATAAATAATTCAAATATTTTTTATTTTTCAATTGTCAAGTCAATTACTAATTCTATAATTAAAAGCAGAACTGATACTTTTAATAAAAATAATTAAAAGAATTAATTTCATAAAGATAAATTATTAAAAATTAAATTTAAAATAATAATGATAAAAATCTTGACATATCTGAACCCGTCTTAAAGACAACGCGTCTTTAACTTTAAGCTCCGAACTAATTTAGTGATAAATATAATGGTAAACTATATGTTTAGCAGCCCAACTATCATACTTGTTCTATTTGGGTTACTCAACTATTTATTGTTTTCAGCATTATACTTAATATTACATTTTAGTTATTTATCGTTAAAAATTGACAAAACTATTAACATGAAATGTATTATTTTTTTTAGTAATATCTTGAAATTATTTTATGGTGACACGTTAGTATTAACAGTAATATTTTAAATATGGTGATCAAAATAAAGTTAAAACGTAATGTTATGTATAATTTTGAAACAAAAAATAATGTCGTGACCAAAACGAGATAAAATTGATAGTTAGTATGCTAAATGTGTAGTTTACCAATATAATTATTTTAAATTTCAACCAATGTTTTGCCAAATCGCTGAAACGAATTAAGGGTATTCTGTAATTTCCGTTCTACACGCGTCTTCCCTTATAAACCCACGGTTGTAGCAGCTTGTCCTGCTCTCTCTAAAAGTCAAATCTTCGTTTTTATATTCTTGGGTGTTTCTGATCTGTTGTTGCTTACTGAGTGTGTGAAGACCGAGTTGTTTTCTGTCCTAGTTTTGCTCCCGAGTCCAATGGAGAGTGGAGGTAGTTCTAGAGGAAGAGGAACCGGTGTTAGTGGTAGTTATCATGGTCGTGGAAGGGGAAGAGGCAGAGGTAGAGATGGCGGTAGGGATCATCATCAGCAGCAGCAGCCGCCGCCTCATCTGACGGGGTTAGGCCGAGGACGAAGTGGGCCCCACTGGAATCGAACTAACCCTCAAGCGAGTCCTCATCAAGTTACGGGACAGGAGGGCGGCGGCGTACGAGGTGGTTACGCTGGTGGCGTTCGCGGAGGTGGCGGCGGAAATGGTGGAAGGTTAGGCTGGGTTGCTCGGTCTCAGTCAGAGAAACCGAGTTATAGTCACGCGACGGAATCAGCGGGCGGCAGAGGCGGTGGAACTGGCGGGGTGCCACAGGGAAGACTGCGGCGGCCAGTTGCTGGTCAGACACCGGAGCCTGAAGTTGACAGAGCGGCATTGCCTTCCAGCTCTACACAGCCTGCACCTGGTATAATTTCTCTTTTTAATTTGACTTTTTGGAGAATGGGTCTAGAGTCCATAGTACTAAATTGTGGTTACGGTTGTGGAGGGTGAATTGTTTTCTAAAAATAACAATGACTTTATGTTGCGGTTTGCGGTGACCTTGAATAACGCTACGAAATACTATGGTCTAGACTTTTCTACTATGTTGACCAAGTTGAATTTTCTAACACTCTTGGCATGATTTTCAGTTTCGATTAATTCTTGAATTTGAGGGTTAATTTTTGTTTAATCTTCGCCATTTTACTTCCTGTACAGTTCCTGCTGTGATTAATATTATAGAACAGTTGGCTTCTACATCATTATCTCCGGGGAATGAGAATAGATACAACCCTATAATGCGACCTGATGAAGGTGGAAAAGCCTCTGTTGCAACTGTTAGGCTTAATGTCAATCATTTTCGTGTTAACTTCAATCCCGAGAGTATCATTAGGCACTATGACGTTGACATCAAGACAGTGGAGCCACCCAGGAATGGCCGCGTTGCCAAACTATCTAAGCTACAACTGTCTACTATCCGGTCGAAGTTGTTCACTGATAACCCTCAATTGCCATTGTTGATGACAGCGTATGACGGTGAAAAGAATATGTTTAGTGCTGTCAGATTACCTGAAGGAGAATTTAAGGTGGAATTGTCTGAGGGTGAAGACTTGAAGCCCGGTGAATATAAATGTTCTATAAAGCTTGTGAATGAGCTCAAACTTTGCAAGTTGCGTGATTACTTGTCGAAGAATGACTCCTCGAATCCCCGTGACATATTACAGGGGATGGATGTAGTTATGAAGGAGAATTCAGTTATGCATATGATTCCTGTTGGCCGAAGCTTCCATCCTACCAAAGAGTCTCCAGAAGATGATCTTGGATATGGCATCACAGCATCTAGAGGAATCCATTATAGCCTCAAGCCCACATTCGAGGGTCTGGCTCTTTGCCTGGATTATTCGATTTTAGCATTTCGCAAGAAAATGTCGGTTCTGGAATTTCTAGCTGAACACATTCCTGATTTTAACGTGAACAATTTTCGAAGATTCAGGCGAGATGTTGATATAGTGTTGAAAAACTTGAAGGTTAATGTAACCCATCGAGTTACCAAACAGAAGTATGTTATAGTTGGGTTGACGCGGGAAGATACTCGCCGTGTTTCATTTCCAGATGCAAATGATATTCGAAAGAATATTAGAATTGTTGATTATTTCAAGGAGAAATACAACAAGAACATTACCCACTTGGACATTCCTTGCCTAGATGTGAGCAGGAACAAGCGAATGAACTATATCCCGATGGAGTTCTGTGTCTTAGCTGAGGGGCAGATTTATCCAAAGGAGTATTTGGATGACAATGCCGCCTTGTTATTGAAGAATATGTCCTTGGCAGAGCCACGTGTAAGACAAAGCAATATCTGTGGTATGGTTCAATCCGAGGATGGACCATGTGGGTATGTATACAAATCAATTGAACCTTTTATTTCTATTCTTGCATCCATTAGATGCTTGTTTTATTTCTTCGTTTCTGACAACAATATTTTTTCCTTTTGATATTGCAATTATTAGTTTCTTTGTTATGATGGTGAATACTAGTAGTTGGCCGATGTTGATATTTTTATTCTCGCGTAAGTGCCTTGATCGATAATTTCTGCTTATGTTCTTGATGTAAGGTTCTTTCTTGGCATGAATGAATTGAGTTTTGGTCTGTTTATGTAGTTGTTTCAAATGGCTGTACATGTACAGGTTTTTCTCAGTTTCATGTTTTAGATGGTTATTTTGTTTGTCCGATTGATACCTGGATTATAGGAAAAGAACATGCTATTGCTGTATGAAACTTTCATGCATCATCTATGCTAGTAACACTACCCTAACAAACTGAATGGCTGCTTATAATATGAATCTTGTTTTTCCGTTTTTTTTTCTGGCAGTGGAAACATCATCCAGAATTTTGGTATTGAAGTCGATATTAATATGACACCTGTGGAAGGACGTGTGATTGAACCTCCGGTTTTGAAGTTGGCTGCTCCTAGAACTGGCAAATTGATGAAGATAACAGTTGACAAACAAAAATGCCAGTGGAACCTGGTTGGAAAAGCTGTTGTGGAAGGAAAATCAATTCAATGCTGGGGTGTAATTGACTTTACCCGTTATGAAGAACGAGCCAGACTGAATTGTCGTACATTCATTCTGAAGCTGATAGATAGGTGCAGGAATCTTGGGATGAGATTGGAGGAACCTCTCTATGAAAAGGCTGGAATGCAAATATTGTCCAATGTTAATGCACTTGGTCAACTGCTTGAAGGAGTTACCAGTCAAGTAGGTAGAGGAAATTTACAGTTTCTACTTTGCGTGATGTCGAGGAAGGATGACGGCTACAAATGTCTCAAGTGGATCTCCGAGACGAAAATCGGTGTGGTGACCCAGTGTTGTCTGTCCTATCATGCTAACAGAGGGCAGGACCAGTACCTTGCTAATCTTGCTCTAAAAATCAATGCCAAGCTCGGGGGCAGCAACGTGGAGCTGAATGACCGGCTTCCCCACTTCCATGGTGAAGGTCATGTTATGTTTGTTGGAGCAGATGTTAATCATCCTGGCGCTCGTGATAAGACTAGCCCATCTATAGCGGCTGTAGTAGCAACAATGAACTGGCCTAAAGCTAATCGTTATGCAGCAAGGGTTCGCCCTCAGCTTAATCGCAAAGAACAGATCCTAGAGTTCGGTAAAATGTGTTTGGAGCTTGTTGAATCTTATGGTCGTCTAAATAATGTCAAACCAGAAAAAATTGTGATCTTCCGTGATGGAGTTAGTGAGGGTCAGTTTGATATGGTTCTTAATGAAGAGTTAATGGATATCAAGAATGCTTTCCAGAAAATAGATTATTTTCCTACAGTCAGTGTTATTGTTGCTCAGAAGCGTCACCAAACTCGTTTCTTCCCAGTGAGAGAAAAGGATGGTGGTCCTAACGGAAATATTTCACCAGGTACGGTAGTTGACACTACAATTGTGCACCCTTTCGAGTTCGACTTCTATCTTTGTAGTCACCACGGAAGCCTCGGTACGAGCAAGCCTACGCACTACCATGTCTTGTGGGATGAGCATGGGTTCTCCTCCGACCAGTTGCAAAAGCTTATTTACGACATGTGCTTTACATTTGCGAGGTGTACAAAACCGGTATCTCTGGTCCCACCTGTGTACTACGCCGACCTCGTTGCTTATAGGGGACGGCTGTACTATCAGGCAATGATAGAAAGAAAGTCTCCTCTAACATCGTCAACCTCATCTTCATCATTGACATCGTCGTCATCAATGTCATCGGCAGCTTTGTTCCAGGACTGGTTTAAGCTGCATGCGGACCTGGAAAACATGATGTTTTTTATTTGAAGAATGGCCGAATTTCATCTGACAACGAAAACGCCTCGAACGCAGGTTTACTCCTTCCCTAAGCTCGGGTTTGTTCGTGAATCTAATGGGTATGAAGGCTTTTCTAGCATTTCCTCTTTTACATTGTTGCTTTATGCATGCGATGAGTTGAGGGAACTGAATGTTTTGTTTGCTTACGTTCTGCTTTTTTTCTCCCCTTTTTTTTAAACTTTGTTGTCAACTCTTTTGTGTTGCATTTTGTGATTTTTATGTTATGTTATTTTGACTCTTTGACTTGCCATGTGCTGAGGTGTGCAATGTTTAGATTTAGGGTAAATTATTTCATGTCATTGAACTGTAGACGTTTGATCGTTCATATAGTTGGACTTTTAACTGCTTCAATTATAGTATTGGATTATTGACGTAGATTTTGAAACAGAATGACGTTGAAGAAAATATCAAGGACCTTAGAAAGAAAAATATAATGTTTAACTACTACACAAACTTAAAATTTTGTTGATGATTTTACTCGAAATATATATATATATATATATATATAGTAAAATTTAGTTGAAATTAATTTAATAGTATAATTTTCTAAATGATAATATCATTTGTCTTTTTAAAAGAAGAAAAGATCATTCATTGTATAAATATATTAATTTTATAAGCGATATTCTTTGATTCTTCCTATTGGCCATGAATGGTCCAATCCGATGTCATTAAGCTGAAATTTTATCGTATCTTCGTCCTCTATGGAAAGGTCAAACATGAAACAAAGCTATAACTATTAAATTGCAAAACATAGCTGTGAATCTTATCAAAGATACTACAGGTAAGAAACTAAAACGGATCAGTTGATCAAGAACTGTCATGATAGGATCTAAAGTTTTGGACTTATTAAGAAATACTCGCTGGTTTTCTTATTATGTTTAGGAACAAAGAATAAAAATGTGATGGACCAAACTTCATAAAACTATATTATCAGTGACCGCGGAAATAATTGGCAGAACCTTTGAGCAAATTTGGTTCAAGTCCAAGCATCAAAGTTTACATCTTGCTAACGAGATGATAAACTCGACAATCATGGAAAACAGAAAACCTTGTTTGTTCGTTAGCCTATTAACATGTATTTGGACACAAACTAAACTAAATGACCTTAGCAGATATTTAAAGGGATGATTGTTATCCCCCAGAGACCCCAGATTCGAGCACAACATTTGTACGAGTGTTTGAACGTTCATTGTAAAATGGTTTAAATTCTTTCGAACATATACTGCATTGCAATCACCCGATTAATAAATTAACATGAATTTGGATTTTAGACTACCATCAAACAATTTGCTACCATCATACATAACAGGTAAAAGAGATGTAAACAAGCAGGAAAGTCAAAGCAAAAAAGGGCATATATCTATTTGGACATGCAGATTGTACTATGGATGTGAAACATAGCATTACCACACTTTTGACCACATGGAAACCAATCTCCAACTTAATAAACGGGTTGACACCAAAGCCTCTAGACAACATGCATGTACAGCTCGGAATGAATAGAAGTGTAGTAAAGATTAAAGGAAAGATAAAACTCTGATTGCAGAGACAGAGAGCATTACAGGAGCTATTTAGAAGATACAGGCGGGAATCGAAACCATCGCCTACGAGCAACAAGATCCACTTCCAGCCCGTTCTGCAGGTCTATCCATGAGACCATTCCAGCAGGATTCTGTGCTGGCTGCTCCCGGGGTAATCTTTTAGCTGCATGAAATAAAAAACAGGTCAATTGCCACTTCATACAAGTGGTACAGCGAGATTTTCGGAAACGTTAGGGGTAATTTTATCATTATGCCGACAACATATAAAGCACCTATTTCATAGAAAATTTCATCGACATTGGATGCTGTCTTTGCATAAGTTTCCATGAGGAAAAATCCATTCTCCTGCGCATAAGTTTGTGCCTCCTGAATCACCAAAGAGAATAAAAAGTCAAATAGGGATTTGAATGAAGGTTTAAGTCAAAAACAAAACTGGACTGCAAATCTATTTGACCAATTGACCTTTTACCATCTCAAAGATAGTTGTTTTGAGATGCCAAAAAATTTAAAGTAGACAAACCTGAAATGCTCATAATTAATGATTACAAGTCATAATAAGAAGTGACGTGAACAAGAAAACCGATAACTTGCCTCTGGTTCCACCTTCCTTGCATCTAGTAAATCAGCTTTGTTCCCAGCAAGTGCCATTACCATGTTAGGATTGCCTTCACATGAAAAGGAAAAGAACAAAAAACATAAACCTGGAATTCAATCACTCAAGAGTCCTTAACATTAAACATTTCATAAGGACAAAAACAGGATATATTGACAACCAAGAAGGATGTTGTCAAGGAATAGAAAAGGAAGAATACTACCTTGGGCTTGAAGTTCCTGGACCCATTTTTTGGCTCTCTCAAATGATGCCTACAAAATAAGAAAGAATGCTATTACCAGATGTGAATTTACTGTATTTCATTTCAAACTGAAACAAAAGTTCACCAAGTTTTTAAAATCCTAGCCAATGTAAACTGTAATAGTGAATAGAATAATGCACTAAAAATGCCTCAAGTATAAACCCCTTTCACTCCCCACCCCCGTTCCTTAAGAGGGGAAGAACAAGCAACTTTACATACAAAAGGGAAAAATTATCAAACAAAATAATTAAAGAGGAAAGAAGAGAGAAAGAAATCTAAAGAAAATCTTAGCTTTCCTTCAACTAACAACCATCAGACTTGAGATTCCTTTTAAACAAATCGTAACATGTAGTAAACATGATTTTGGGGAAGATACCAACAATAGTGATCAAGGCATAAACCAGACAAAAATAACATAATGTTGCGAAAATCACAATATAAGATTCATAGAAAGCTTGTCCTCATACCAGTAATGTTTAGGTCCAGTCTCGTTAGCACTTTTCACATTCTTTTGATAAAAAGTGAAAACCAATAAATGCAAAAAGAATATAAAAACAGAGGCAAATAGCAAAAAGCAAAACCACCCAGAAAAAATAGAACCTTTGGAAATCGAACAGAGTATGACCTAGATTCCATGACCCCAAAATTTTAATACTTCATCTCACAATGTTGTCTTTTTTATTTACTTGTAATGGATATGCCTTACTCCGGTCGTCAATGGTTTGTGTCACCTTACTATATAAAGGACTCATTAGTCATGCTTTTCAAGCAACCCTAACTTCTTCTTCACCCTTTGCTAGAAATAGTTTTAAGAGCAAAACAGGCAATTGCTTGTCAATCAATTAAAACTATTTAAATCTGCACAACAAAGAAGGTTAAGCTCTCTTAGATTACCAACAATACTTCTTGTCGAGCTAGCCTCAAGAAACGGAGGGTAGGGTTGGCAAAAAAGGTCGAGGAGTTGACCAATTTATGTGGCATAGAAGCTTGGCTTCTCATGTACAGCCCGTGGGAACAGGAGCCAATGGCGTAGCCATCGTCTGATGAGGTGAAAAAACTGATCGAAAAGTTTTATCTCGTTCCAGAGCCAAAATACAAAAAGAAAATGATGAATATGGAGACGTACATGATAGAAAAGCTTTCCCAGGTGCAAGATCACCTTATGAAGCTTAACAGTAAGAACAAAGAAATAAAGGTGGGGCAATTAATGCTTCAAATGCATCAGGCAAACATCATGGATGAAATTAACTTAAATGAATTGGATGCATTGATTTGGTTCGGAGAAGAAAGGAGGACAAACATAAGGAAATATATTAAATATTATAAATAAGTTACCTACTCACTGAGCCCTCTGAGAAAGATGTTCTTTTCCAGCCACTACCACCCCAAGGACTTACTAGTAGTATAGATTCTGAAATTTTTGTGCCACTGTAGGCGTTAGAGACAATGAGAGAAAAGCGATCGAATATTTTTCCTGGGACGATTGGTTCCACAAAATTATAAACACCAATAAGTTCAGAGGTAGAGCTACCAGCAGCAGGCTTTTTTTGGCCCAATAAGGATAACGGGCTTTTTATTTAGCCCATTAGGGCATCTCGGTTTATATTTTGAGATCAACGGCATTTTTTACAGTGTTCATTGAACTCATCACGTCAAGGTGACAAGTTTCAATAAAAAATATTTTTTATTCAAACTCATCACCTCGAGATGACGAGTTCTAATAAAATATAATTTTTTTATTAAAATTTATCATATCGAGATAAAAAGTTAAAATAAAAAAATATTTTTTATTGAAACTCATCATCTCGACGTGACGAGTTTCATGTCACTGTAGAAAACACCATAGATCCCAAAATAAATTTTTACTTGCCCTGGCTAAATAAAAAACCTATATACGATACTGGACCAATTTTGCCAGCAGCTGCGTACAAAGTGATATGGGCTTAACTCATTATAACCCATATGATGCGTCTGGCAGCTCAAGTTTTGCACCTCATTTCGACTATCATGCACTTCTTATGGTGGCAACTCGAGCGTTTTCGCTGTTGACTTGGGCTGCTAGGATCTCAAATTGGTGGTAACTCAAATGCTGCTACCGAACAGGTGTCACCAAGGCATCTTTTTAGTAGCGACCCATCAACTGCAGTCGTAAAAGAGGTACCACCAAGACTTTCTTTTGATGATGAATCCTCAAGTGTTGTTACAAAATGTGTCATCAAGACGTCTTCTTGGTAACAACTCCTCAAGTGTTGTTGCAGAATTGGTGTCGTCAAGACAATATTTTGGTGGTAGCTCCTCAAGTGTTGCGACTACTACCTTGGGGCTACCCATGTCTGAAACTTTCAGCACTCTTACGACGTGTGTTGATCTGGCTGAAGGTGACTATTTTGGTCTTTTCGAGGGTCATGATTTCAGGCTGAGATATTTTATGTTAAGATCAGTGGGATACATTTCTCCTGCAATGGAGGTGAATCTCTTTGGATTTTATGATAATGAAAGCGGCATCAATAGAAGCACATCCAATAGTGATGTCATGACCAGTGATGATGAAGTAAGATCATATGACGACCGAATCTAATCCGCAAATTTTTTCTCTGGAATTCGATTTCTTTGCTACAACAACTTCTTTTTATTTATATTATGATTCAAAAAATATAATGTTCTTGTCCTCAATTATTTGTTTGAAAAACACATGGATATCATCATTGAGACTAAATATATATTTGAAAGAATAAAAAATTATTTATACATCTTAACAAACAAGAAATTGTCCATATTAATTTTGGCAACATCATACTAATTTGTTCGTTTCTAGTTGGAGACAACTAAAGAGATAAATTTCGTTTTAAAAATGATGTTGAGAGACAAGATTAATATTAAATATTAACTATATAGTTGTTCGTTTGGAAAATAAATAAAAAATTGATATTTTATGCATTATTATTTTGGTTCATTTAATATATGTGACTTAAAATTTTTAATCTCACTAATTATGCTTAAAGATCATTTATTTATAAATTCTCTACTAATTTTTTATGGGTTTTCTTAGAAAATGTATTACAACCTTTGATATAGAAACCCAACGAACTCCAAATTTGTTTTCATTATTTAGAAACAAAGATATTTATTTATTTTTGAAACTGATGTATGTCGATCTAAAAAAATTGACATATTTATTTCTCTTTTTTAAGTGCATATTTATATCATTTAACACGTGATCTATAATAATGTTTATTGTAAATGAAACATGCATTTGATCATATTATTGAGATATTATTTTTTTAAGGAACTACTTATAAAAATAATATTGTAATTAAATTTTAATTACTAAGTATACTTGTCTTCTTTAGATACAATAAAATTTTATCTCTATGCAACATGAATATATTTCTTTCTTTTAATTTTATACGTGATTAAACAAATAAATCTAGTATAGATTTATTACTATAATAGCGTTAAATCTAGTACAAATCTATTACTATAATAGTGGTGAATTACTTGCCATAATAAGCAATAAATTGAATTATCCAACCAACCAAAAATTATTTATTTTTTTTACCTAAATTTGTGTCATCTTACTCACTATATAAAGGATCCATTGGTCATTCTTTTAGAGCAACCTAACCTCTCCTTCACCATTTTCTAGAAATAGTTTTAAGAGCAAGAGACTTTTGTTTGCCAATCAATTTAAAATATTTAAGTCTACAAAGCTATAGAAATGACAAGACAAAAGGTTAATCTCACTTGGATTGTCAACAATACTTCTCGTCGAGCTAGCCTCAAGAAACGAAGACTGGGTTTAGTTAAAAAGGTTGAAGAGCTAACCACTCTATGTGGAATAGAATCTTGTCTTCTCATGTGCAGCCCCGGGGAACATGAGCCAATGGCGTGGCCATCGCCTGATGATGTGAAACAATTGATAGAAAAGTTCTATCTTATTTCGGAGCACGAACGCATGAAGAAGATGACGAACATGGAGACATATATGACAGAGAAACTTTCCAAGGCGCAAAATCAATTTATGAACCTCAACATGAAGAACAAAGAAGCAGAGGTGGGACAATTCATGTTTCAAATGCATCAAGGCAAGATGGTCGATGAATTTAACCTGAATGAACTAGATGCATTGATTTGGTTTGGGGAAGCAAGAAGAACAAATCTAAGAAAACATAGTCAATATTATAAACAAGTTCCTTACACATCAGCTGGGCCCTCTGAGGGAGACGTTCTTTTGCAGCCACCGCCCCAAGGGTCTGCTCCAATTGTAGATAATGAAATTGGCAGCGTCGGTGCAAGCATGGAAGATAACAAGAGGGAAGCCATCGAGCCTTTATCCTGGGACGATTTGTTCCACGACATTATGAACTCCAATAAGTTCAGAGGTGGAGCTAGCAGCAGCAGCGTACGGGGTGATATGAACTTAACTCATTATAGTTCATATGTTGCGCCTGAAAGCTTAAGTGTTGCACCTCACCTCGAACTTCGAGGTCCTTCATATGGGGGTAGCTTAAGTGTTTCCGCTGCTGACTTGGAGCTGTCAGGACCCTCATTTGTTGGTAGCTCAAGTGCTACTATAAAACAAGTTTCGTCAAGACATCCTTTTGGTAACAACTCAAGTAATGTTGCAGAACAAGTGCCACCAAGATATCCTTTTGGTGGCAGCTCTTCAAGAACTACTGTAGAACAAGTGTCGTCAAGACATCCTTTTGATGGCGACTCCTTAAGTGTTGCTGCAGAACATGTGCTGCCAAAACATTCTTTTGGTGATGTTTCCACAAGTGTTGATGCTACTGGTCTGAGGTCGCCTCTAGTCGAAAATTTTAGCACCTCTATAGCTAATGCAGATCTAGCTAAAAGTGATTACTTTGACCTTTTTGGGGGTCATGATATGGGGCCGGGACATTACCCGTTGGGACCAGTGACAATCAGTTCTCCTGCAACTGAGTTAAATCCTTTTGAAGTTCATGGTGGTGAAAGAAACAATAGTAATAACGCAACATCCAATAATTGTGCCGCAACAAGCAGTGGTGAAATGGGACCATTTGATGATAAAAATTAGCACACCAACTTTTCGCCATGAGATTTGATATCTTTGCTAAAAAAAATTATTTGTTTCATGCTAATTTATCCACATTAATTTGTCAGATTCTTGAATAAAATTTAAATAATTAGTTTCTTTTTGTTTTCATGTCGAGGTCGTCATTTTCTTGTTCTTTTCTTAATTTTTTTTTTGTTAAACTCATTTTTAGTAAAATTATTATTCAATAAAATATTATATTCTCGTCCTTAATTCTTTGTTTAAAAAATATATAGATACAATCATTGAAATTAATAAATATTTAAAAGAATATAAATTTATTTATACATCTTAAAAACAAGAATATTAATTTTGACAACACCATATTAATTTATTCTTTTTTAGTAGGGTACAACTGAACAACTAAATTTCCTTTTAAAAATTTTGTGGAGAAAAATATTAATATTAACTGTAGATGTTCATTCGAAAAAAATATTTTTTAGGATTTTATATATTATTAAATTAATTCCATTTAATATATGTGAATTGAAATTCTTCATCTCACTAATTATGCTTAATGAGCATTTATTTACAAGTTTTCTAATAATTTTACTTTTACTTATTGATTATGTTTATAGGATATTTATTTTAAAAAAATAAAACTTATAAAGAAAATGATAAAATTTTTGTATAAGTGATAGAATTTATGTATAGTTAAGCCGAATGATGGCAATAATATTTTCAGAAGAACATAGATTTATGAAAATCTATTTAATCTTAAAAGTTATTATAATTAATATGATTATTTAATAAATTATAAATAAATTTTTATATATTTTAGTTTTATATAGTATATTTAAAAATCTATTTTAGTGGCATGTGTTATAATTTTAAATAATAAAATGATACTTTCGTTATCTGTAATGAAAACAATAAGTAGGAGATTAATCCAAGGAGAAAAACCTAAATCCAAGTCAAGAAAAAGAAAATAATACATTTAGTCCAATCACTCGCTTTTTACTCATTTTAAAACTACTGTTGATGCTGCTAATAATAATAATAATAATAATAATACTATTATTATTATTATTATTATTATTATTATTATTATTATTATAGTAAAGAAGAAAAAAATCATGTAAATGATTTTCATAAATGATTTTTAAGGAAATATTTTTATTAACTTTATTAATATTACAAGCATCTATTATCATTTTTATTAATAGTATTAAATAACTTTAACAAGGAAACAAATCTAGGATAATTAGCATTATGCAATTCATGATTTTAAGGAAAAATATATATTTTTTTGTTGTCGTCCAGGTCACCACACACCTGACTTTGGTGGGTGAGTCTCTCAGGAGAGATTTCCTGCATACACAAGGACTCGAACTTGAGACATTGCTTTAACAATATCAAGGTGCTTACCACTTGAACCAACCCCTGTTGGTGAAGGAAATATTCTTTAATGATATTATTATTATAAAATTAATTATTTAAATCTATATTACTTAACTTTCCTTATAAATAGCGTCAATTAAAATTTATTACCAAAATTAAGGCGGTCTAATTTGTCGATTAATTACTATACCATTTTAATTAGAGAGATTTAGTTTCAAAATTAAGATTAAATCCTAAATTAATAGCAGAATACTACCATAAAAAAAGTAAATAAATTTATAAACATTACTATAAAAATAATACTTTCTCTAAAAAAAATTCTCTATATATAATTTTTAAAAAGATTTATAATCCTAAACATGCAATACAATAAAAATTCATTTAATCAAAATCGCCCAAAATTTATGAAATGAGTATGGATATCCAAACTTACTTCACAAATACATATTAAATCGATTACTAGCTATATAAAATAAAGAGTTCACTAAAAATCTTACTCGCCAAAAATGAGAATTTTCCTTATTCTTGTCTCCAAACAACTAGGAATCAATAGAATATTGATAGGCTGGATAGAAGAGGATAAAAAAATTATAAGTAGGCTCAAAGAGTACTATTTTTAGACTTCCTTGGGAGTTGACACCAAAAATATATTTTGGTTTTTTTAGAAGACGGTGAAGGGTGATTTGGAGTGCTTAAGGTTGTAAAATATAGAGATTTACTATTTAGGAAGGTATTTATAATTCAGAGAGGTCTAAATAACATTTCTAGATCAAATCCAATTGAAAACCTAGTGTTTATAACATAAATATGAATACTTTAGTCTTGGTATCCAAAAATCGGTTTACGCATTGATACATTGGACCACGTATTAGTACTTGGACCAGAATATTTCAACTTGGGCTTGCAGTTATTATCAATTCAAGGTCAGCGAGCTGAGCATGATGAAGATCAGCTTGGGGTAGGTTATTATCAGGGGTGATCGTGTGATCCTTTTTACACCGGAATCATGATGATTAAACTAAGGGAGCATGATTAAATCTAAATTTGCAAATAGATTTAATATCTTTCTAGTAACTAAAAAAAAAATTAATACGAGATTATATATGCATTTGAAGTATCCATTAATTCTTATACATCAAACTATGTACTTGGATTGAGTTTGGAAAAGAGTGGACAGGCAATTGGAATTAATGAACGTAGGGAAACATTCATGGCTGTTTTACGTTCCTTGCATGTATTTGCCTTAATCTATAGGTTCATCATTGTTACCGTTGGTGCTACAATAAACTGCAAAGTCCTAGATCTGTTACGAAGAAATGTGACCTAAACTATCATAGGAAAAGAGAAGCAATTAGGGTTTGAATGGTTCGTGTAAAAGATTATTATCGAGTAATAAAAATTTTCGGAATTCATGCCTACCTTCCTATAAAAAACAAGTCTTATCAATACGAATTATTTTTTAATAGTATGAGTGATTACAAGATATTATCTATTTTTATTTTTTCTTAACCATTGACAACGTACACACACCTTACAGACGTAGTTGATCGAACTCAATACTTCAATGAAGAACAACACTCTTTTAACCATGTATGCCACTCAATAAATCTCCCTTTAAATTATTTTTTTTATTTTTTATAAATAGATAATTATTTGAGTGAAAATTATTTTTTCATATTAATTTAATATTTAAACAGTGTTACATATATTTAGATAATATTTTAATATTTAATTTATTAATATCGTGTTTGTGATGTTTCAAATGATGTGTAGTGAGATTGAATGTTGTTTAGGAATGAATAAGTTAGGAGTTGATGTCATTAAATTTATTATTTGATCTATAAGATGTTATTTATAATTAAAAAAAGGTTTATATCATAAATAAATATTTAAAGAATATCCTCTTTTTCATTTAAGTACTTAAAATATTTTTTTGGTCAAAATAAGTACCTAAAGTTTTTTTTATCAAAATATGCACATAAAGTATTTTATGTCAAAATAGGTACCTAAAGTATTTTATGTCAAAATAGGTACCTAAATTATTTAAACTTTTTCATTTAAATTCTAAAAAAATTGACATGTGACATTAATTAAAGAATACTTTAGGTACTTAGATAAAAAATTGAATACTTCAGGTACATATTTTGACCAAAAAATACTTTAGGTACCTATTTAAAGATAACTTTAAGTTCTTATTTTGACCAGAAAATATTTTAGGTACTTAAATGAAAAATATAATATACTTTGAGTACTTATTTTTTATATAAGCCTTTAAAAATACTTTTTAACATATGAAATTTATAATCTATAATTTTTGTTAGTATTTACTATTTTTAGATATTTATTATTATTATTATTTACTATTTACTATAATTTATTTGACGAATTATTATAGGTAATAAAAATTAAAAAAATTGAACGCTTTGAACGTTTAACGTACGGTAATTGACAAAAAATATTTTTAAAAGTCAACAAAACACGTAAATAATGTTTTGTTAATAATTTGTGGTGATTATAAAAGAATATTTGTTGATATTTTTTCTTAGTAACGTATATTCGACTTGTAGATAGGGATGTTCAATAGATCAGTTTGGTTAACCGACCGAATCTAATCGAACCAAGCTTTCAAAATTTTCATTAACCGAAATTTTTTTCTCTTTAACCGTTAACCGAAACCAATTTTTTCGAAAATAATTAATTGAACCATACAAAGTTCGCTTAATCGGTCGGTTAACTAAATTAATCGAAATTTTAAATAATATATGTTATATATTAAATACTTAATATTTTTGGCTAATTCGGTCAATTAGTTCGATCGATTAATTGGTTAAAACCGAAATTTAAACACTCCTAAAGCTATATAAAGAATATATTAAATATTTAAAAATTTCGGTTAATTCGGTTAATCAAGTGAATTAATCAATAACAGAACTTTGAAAAAATCATTAATTGTTAACCGATCAAACCTAAAATTAACCGACCGATTTACTCAAAAAAATTTCGATTAGGTCGATTTAATCGGTTAACCAAAATTCTAAACACGCCTACTCGTTGATGTAGCTGCTCAAATCCAATATTTCTAAGGAGAATAAACTTCTTTAACTACTGAAGTTGTTAAATAAGTTCATATGTAAATATAATTTATTTTTTAAAATAGTATTTAATAGATTAATTATATTAACAATATATTAAATCTAAAGTTCTTGTAAAATTTAAATATTATAATGAATACAGTTCTATAAATTTTATGTAAATATTTTTAGTTTAATATAATAACTTTAATTTGTTAAAAACTATAGGGCAAACTACATGTTTAGTACCTAAGCTATAACTTTTATTTTGTTTTAGTACCTAAACTTTCATTTTTTTAAATCATACATAATGTTTACTTTTTGTTTTGTTTTAGTACCTCATCCATTAAAAACTTAACAAGGCATTTTTTATGGTTAAATTACATTATTCATCACTCCACTATCTTCTCACTCCTATTTTGGGCACTAAAGTTTTAAAAATCTCAATTTAACAACTCAAATTTCAAATTGCTCTTGTTTTAATCACTCTATTTTATTTTATTAGTATTTTTGTTACATGACATTTTTATTATTGTTTTATTAATATATAATTAAAATAAAAAATTAAATTTAAAATTATACTCAAACCCAAAAAATTATATCACAAACCCTAAACCACAAACCACTCATCCCACCCTCACAATGTCACTCTTATCGGCCGACCCAACTCGTACCTTCTTTTGTTATTTGCATATATATTAATAAAATAATAATTAAAAGATGTCATGTCATAGAATATATTAATAAAATAAGAGTGCTTTGAAAGTTAAGTGATTAAATTTAAAAAATAAACTTCGATGATCAAAAAATAAGAGTGAGAAGATAGTTGAGTGATAAATGTTATAATTTACCCATAAAAATACTATTTGTTTTTTAACGAGGCACTAAATGAAACAAAAGGTAAACATTAGGTATGATTTTAAAAAATATAAAAGTTTATGTATTAAAACGAAACAAAAATGACAGTTTAGGTATCAATTGTGTAGTTTAATAAACTTTACTTTCATGTAATGTTATATTTTTAATCAAATATTTTAATTTTATATTATTGACATATGAATGAAAGGATATAATATATGATAATGTAAATAATGTAGATAATTTTACGTGCACTTAAAAGATCATCTCAAAATAATAAGTAAACTAAATAGCAGTATTTTGTCAATGGAAGTTCAAATATTAAATCAAAGAAGTAAAGGGATTAAAATTAAAATATACAGAGTGAGGGGATGGAGAAGAGAATCGGACCAAAGATGAGATAGAAGAGATACGTAAGATAGAGATATGGATAGAGAGAGAATCGAAAAGAGGCTAGAATCCAATAAAAGCCATCCAACTCAGCTTTGTCTTTGAGAAAAATCCCATCTTCATCTGTATCTTATCTTCCCTCCCACCACTAGCCCCGAATCTATTACTCTCAAATCCTTCCCATTTCCCTTGTTCATTCCTCTCCATCATCAAACAATTTACAGAACCAGAGAGAGAAACCCCCATTAACAATGTCTCTCACAATCCCCACCAATCTCTCTCTTTTGAAGCCTAAGCTGAACCCCCAGACACCCCCCAAAGTTCCACCATCTTTGGTGGTCTGCTCCTCCTCCGACAAGACTCCACCGCCACTCCAAGCCTTCTCAGCCGCCCTCGCCCTTTCTTGCATCCTTCTCTCGGCTCCCCAGCCGGCCGCCGCCGACATCTCGGGCCTCACGCCATGCAAGGAGTCGAAGCAATTCGCCAAACGCGAGAAGCAGCAGATCAAGAAGCTGGAGTCGTCGTTGAAGCTGTACGCCCCCGACAGCGCTCCGGCTCTGGCCATAAAGGCGACCATCGAGAAGACCAAGAGACGGTTCGACAACTACGGGAAGTACGGGCTGCTGTGTGGCTCCGACGGGTTGCCTCATCTGATAGTGAGCGGCGACCAGAGGCACTGGGGCGAGTTCATAACGCCGGGGGTGTTGTTCTTGTACATCGCTGGATGGATCGGGTGGGTTGGTAGGAGCTACCTCATTGCTATAAGCGATGAAAAGAAGCCGGCCATGAAGGAGATCATAATCGACGTGCCCTTGGCCACCAGTCTTATCTTTAGAGGTTTTATTTGGCCTGTCGCTGCTTATAGAGAGCTCGTCAATGGCGACCTTGTTGTCAAGGACGTTTGATCTCCTCAGGTGACCCTTTTTCTCTTAAAAACTTGCTTACTGTCTTTGCATTCGTCTATGTTGCTTGCCTTAGACAGTTATTGCCTGTGGAAATGTAACAGAGAGACAGGATGCAAGGGTTTGGACTGCATTGTTGGTGGAAAGGAGGAAATTTAATGTAATTCGAAATGAAATCTTATGTAATGCTAATGTTTAAAAAAACATTTGTTAACTGATAGACTTTCTATTTCAAACTTTTGTTAGTTGTTACCCAAATACGAGTGAGTTTCCTAGAGTACCCATACTAAAGTGTGATTTATTTTCTAAAAGTAATTATATTTATATATTATGAATGCGATTTACGTTGTACCCAAATATAAGTGGGATTTCTTAAGTATTGTTTTTGTTTAAGGTTTTGAATATAAACATTTATCACGTAGAATGTAGGTTGTAAATAAATATAGAGAATATATTATATTATAATTATTCTAAATTATTTAAAAAAACTAATTTAATATTCATATTCTCTTTTAGTTAATGAAATTTAACAATTTATATCAATCTTTTAATTATGAATAATTGAAGAGTTGAATCTAGCATTTATATTTTTATGTTATAATTATCACTACGATTTCCACTTATTTATACTATCATTAAAGAATTAGTTGAAGTTTTAACTGTATTTCTCTCCATGGACGAACCAAGGGGTACCGTTCGTATATGGGTAAGGATGAGTCTATAATGAGTGGCATTCATTGAAATGCATCGCTAAAGACATACATCCACAATAAGTGATATTCATTGAAATGCATCGTAACTAACATGCATTGAAATGCACAACTAATATAAAATAGGATAAAACTCATAAATAGTCACAAATTTTTTTTAAATTGATTTTATCAATCATTGAATTTTTAAAAGTTACAAAATAGACATTAAACTTTGAACTTTGTTAAAAATAACAATTGTTAAATGTTATTAAGGGGTGAATGACATACTAAATTAATAAAAAAAATATCTTATTTAGCCCCTTGAATTATAACTAAAATTTCACTTTAATATTTATAATATAAAATTAATGATGATATTTATTTTATCAATATCTATTTTATTTTCAATTCAACGAACCAAATAAGAATTATTTCAATTAAAATCAAGAGCAAAATTACATTTAGTTATAATTGAAGGGTCAAATGACATATTTCTTAATGGTATTGTGCCCATTTTATAACAAAAATTAAAATTTAATATTCATTATGTAACTTTTAAAAGTTAAATGTTCAAAAGGGTAATTTTGACATAGTTTAATGACCATTTCTAAATTTTACCGTATAAAATTAGCGGTGAATTGCAATGAATGACATGCATTCTAGAATTTTCCATGGGGTGATTATTCCTTGAAATTAATCTTCTTAAAAATTAAATAAAATATAGGGTAAAGTATACAAATGGTCTTCCGACTATCAGGTGGTACTTTATTAAATCCCTTGACTATTAAAAGTTACAAAATGATATTTGACTATCTAATGTTGCTTTGTTGAGTCTATCGACTATTAAAAGTTACAAAATAGTCACCTGAGTATTCATTGTGTTCCAAACTCATCATTTTTCATTAAAAGTTTATACATTCTAAGCTGAATGTTAACCTATTGACTGTGATATGATAAAATTGATCCTAAAATCTCAAACAATTACTCCCTCCATCCCATTAAAATTTCCCCTTATTGACTTTTTAAAAGTAAAAAATTTTAAACTTTAATCACAATTATTTTAAACATTTAAATTTTTTTTATAAAAATATATATTTTAAAACTACTTGATTGAATTTTTTAAAATATAATTTTTCATATTTTTATCAATAATAAATTTTAAATAATAAAGAGTCAAAGTTCAAAAAAATTGACAAAAGAAAAGTCAATAATGAACATTTTAAATGGGACGAAGGTAGATCATATTTCAGTCATCATGTTAACGTTCAGCTCAAACGACCGTCAATTTTTTAACGAAAAATGATGAATTTAGAGCATAATGAATAATCAGGTGACCAGTTTGTAACTTTAATAGTCGATGGACTCAACAAAGCAACACTCCATAGTCAAAGGACCATTTTGTAACTTTTAATAGTCAAGGGACTTAATAAAATAATATCTTATAGTTGGGATACCATTTGTATACTTTATCCTAAAATATATGGGAAGAAGAAATATTCTATTGTTGAAATCTACCATTATACAGTTTCCTTAAGATAGATTTTATGTCACTCTTTGATATCGAGATCTTTTGATCATTTGTCTCTTATGATACGACAATTAGATGGCCAATGAACAATAGCACAAACTGTTGAGATCATGAATTATTCCTGCCTTTGCCTATCACCGAAAATATAATAGGGATTTTCAATAGAGATTTATCCAAAATAGATATATTTTAATATTCAAATTTAAACAGATAATAATATCTTTTAACTTAAAATATTCAAAAGATATAGATATTTTATACTATTCAAACTTAAACAGATATTATTTTAATTTGAGATTCAAACTGATATAATTATCTTTTAATATTTAAAATTAAATAGATAATAAATGCCTTTTAAATATTCATAAGAATAGTTATCCTACTAATATTCAAATTAAAGAGATAAATATCTTTTAATTTATAATATTTAAAAGCAATATGAATTTAGTTTTAATATTAAATAAATCAATGAAAATTACTCTTTTTTCAACAGGGTATTTATCCCCTGAAATTTTCAAACAAAATATATTTTAGATATTTTATTTGTACTTTCAATTGATTCTATGTTTTGTTCCTTAAAATTTTATAATTTTACTCTCCCAAAAGTTTAAAAATTTGTCCCCTAACATAAAATCATGTATTCATCTTTATGTTTCTTCTAAATCTTTCTTGATCTATCTATCACCTAATCATAACATAATTTTAATCAATATTAAATCTTTTGATTTTTTCAATCATATTTTAATTTTAATTTAATTATTAAGCTATTAATTTATAAATCTTTTAATCACATTAAAAACTAAAAAAATTATGACATTACAATCAATGTAATAAATAAATTAAACACATCCATGAGGAAAAAAATTAAGAAAAACGTATAATATAAATTTTCCACATGAAATAGGAAATGTTTGCTAAAGTTTGGCTCTTTATGTAAAGTCGTAAACCGTCGCCCATATGTCTAATCTCCACTAAATAGGAATATAGTTATAAAGTTTTAAGATGTAATAAACTTATAAAATTTAAAGAGATAAAAATAGATCATAAATAGAATATATAAAGAAAATATAAAAATATATAAAAATTCGAAAACATGACGAGCAAAGTAATCGAAATCGAGTATCCATGACTGCCTGTGCGTTTCAATCGATGAAAAGCAATTTATAAGATCTTCGTATTATCTAATAACATCATGAAGTGTAAAAAGTAATCATAGTTGGGTGTCCAATTACTACCTGTGCGTTTTAATCAATGAAAAACAAATAAACAGTATATTTCTGCGGCAATTTAGTACCAAGAACAGACATGGCCATGTTCTTATTAACTTCTCCATTAAACCAAGTATATTTATTTCAGATTATATATTCTAACCTAAAAAAATCCCATCTAGTTTTACTACTCAAAAAAAATACGAGCATCCATGGATGATTAGTATATAGTTTGCGAAGAGATTCTTCATTATTTGGATGATCCAAGTATTATATATCCCTCAACATTTTCCAGTCACTGTATAGCAGTGATGTAGCCAGGGTATTATAATCAACCACTGGCCCAAGCTCATCCCAGTTTTGATGTCCCAAGTCGAATTCATCTGCATTCGGATTCGAAAAGCTTAAATAGGACGGAAGAACTTGAGTCGTCGTCCCTGCAAACGACTGGTTCCCTCCATGGAAATGATCATTCACAATCTTCATTTCCATCTCCTTGAACTGCACACTATTCTCAGACTCTACACTGCTTGTTCTTGAACTGTTAGCTGTTGTAGTAGTGAAATTAACACTATTTTGTTTGGAAAGATTAGTCTTCTTCTTGTGCCAATCTTGTGCTGCAAGTTTTCTACACGAAGCGTCGCGTTTAAAGATTCTGCAAAGTGTCCAAACTTCCTGCAAATAGTTAAAGAAAACGTGTCTGAATAAGATGAATCTATCTCGGTTAATTAAGAGAGATTAATTCGTATGGATGCTTACAGCTTCTGCCAAGTTGTCCTTCTTGGTATTAGTAGGAACTTGAGTAGGTGGAAGGCGAAATTCATGCATCATCCAATCCGTTTTGGTGCCTTTCCCTGCACTTCCCCTGTAATAAACCAATGATTTCTTGAGGCCTAAGCAATCGTGGAATCTGCCGACGGGATATATCGGCTTGTCGATCCCAGTCGCTTTCCAGAACCCGGACCCTGTAACCCTGTTCGGCCTTATGCTGTTCCTATATTTTCTGCCTCTCCTGCAAAAGAAGTACCATTCCTTCTCCGTAACACTGCTAATTTTGCTGACTTCTGCAACAAGTTTCACAGCAATTAGTTATTGAACATCCATCAATTGAGGAAAAAAGTTTCGAAACTGCGAAATCAAGAAGAAAGAATCGTACTCGGAAGATCCCAGGGATCGAATTTGTAGATATCGACCTGTTTGATCAGGTCGATACTAAAGAGCTTCTTTTCCACTTTCCGTTTAAGATAGAAGCCAACAAGCTCTTCATCAGTGGGATGAAATCGAAATCCCGGAAGCAGAACATCATCATGATCTTCATTGTTAACTGAAGAGATCATCTTCTCCATCACCTCCATTGTGCAGTGTTAGCTTTGCCACTTTGAGATCAATTTAAGAGACTTTATAATGTGTTTTTTTAGTCAAAGTCGTTGTTTTTGACTAGAAATATGAGATCCATTGCTTCACATTTGAAGACTTTATGGGCTGATGCAGATGTTGGTGGTTTGTCTGATATTTTCTACCAAAGAAAAAGACAATTAAAATCTTTCCATTTGAAAAAATAATTTTTTCCCTAAAA